TATTCTTGCCTCTTCGAGAGGTGGAATGTGAGCGGCAATGGCCTTCAAGTGCGGGTAGTTCCGTGCTGCGTCTGGCGTTGGAATTTCTTCCCTGTTGTCTGGAATCTCATCGCACTCAAGAAGAGGCGGAAGGGAGAGCTTGACATTGCCCAATACGCTCCGCACAAAGAAGCCGTTTGCGATCCTACCAACAACCTCAGTACTGCCGGTACAAGTGCGCAATGTGTACTGGGTAGGTGTGCCCTCCACACTGAACTCGTCAAGAAGTTCTGGCCGAACCAACGAACGATTACTCTGTTCATCGAGTATCGCGTATGCTCTTAATAACTTGTCAGGCTGAGATTGATGAGTCACATCCACGAGGCAGATTTTAGCACACGATCTGTAGTTGTCGTTCATGTTTGCCACCTCGGTACGCGTAGATGTGACTCTTTCATCCAAATTCTGAGCAGAGCTGTTATCGCGTTCAATAGGCTTCGGCGACTCTGAGCACGTAGTTGATGGGTGAAGCGCTGTCGCATGATTACCGCTGCTGCATATGTAGCATTTTACGACCGCCTTGCATTGCCACTGCGTGTGATTTGAGGATAAACAACATCGTAGACATATTCCGTGCGCTTTAAGAAAGGTCATCCGCTCTTCCAGTGTTTTTTCACAGAAAACGCGACACCGTGCAAGAGGATGAAACTTCTTGTGATGCGGGCACCATTTTTCGAAGCTGTTCGATTCAAGTAGCTGCTTTGGAGTGGTTTCCTGAACCTGCTCGAAGGCATGATGTACGTTTGTTTTCCTTGCTGACACAGGTGACTTGTGCAGCGGGGTCTTGGTGGTCGTATCTTCTTTTCGCTGTGTGATCGAAGGCGAGACATATTGTGGTTGCAGGATAAAGCTGGGATCGTTCCTCATGCTTGCCTGGTCTTGAACGAACTTTGAAAAAACCGCAAAGGGTGGGAACGCAGTGTTGTTCTGTTTTTTGTATTTAGTCCCCACTGACATCCAATTTTCTTGAAGTCCAGATGGTAGCTTGGAAACAATTTTGTTTATTCCTCTTGCGCTATCCAAATAGTTAAGACCGGCGAGGTAGGGATCAGATTTGGCAGCTTCGAGTTCCAGCAGGAGGTCTCCGAGCTCTTGCAATTTGGCATTATCTCGGTACGATATTCTTGGGAACTCCTCCAACCTCCTCAGCAGCGCATCCTCAATTGCCTCAGGACGTCCGAAGGTGTCGTCGAGCCGTTTCCACACGATGTTTAAGCCCTTCGAGAAGTCATCCACATGAACAGATTTCAACCTTCGGACTTGATGCGATGACTCAGGACCAAGCCATTTTATTAGGAGGTCGAGCTCTTCCTGCGCAGAAAGGTCTACATCTCTGACGACGCCTTTGAAAGATGACTTCCAAGCTCGAAAGTTCTCAGGTCGATCATCAAACTTCGTAAGTCCTGTAGAGACAAGGTCCTTGCGGCACAGGAATTTAAGGACGCCGGCAAGCTCTGAGCTGGAACTGTTAGGTGCTGGCGTGTACGCAGGCGGCTGATGATAGTCACGCAAGTCCGTGAGGTGGTCGGCTACTTCAGCATGCTCCAAGCTCTGGCTTCTCGGATGAACAACAGGCGCCCGAAGAGACGCAAGCTCGGCATCACGTATGGCGGCTTGCTCAGTGATGTAGCTCGAAACCCGTGTCCGGTCTAAAGGTGGGTGTGGGCGCACACACTCCCCGCCATCCTGTTCCACAGCTGCCTCGAGTGCACTTGCCTGCGCGTCTGCAGCAGCTGCCTCTTTTTCATGCTGTAATACCTCAAGCTCGGCCTCAATTCTGGCCTTTTCTAAGCGCATTGCGGCCTCTTTACGTCCAAACTGAGCTCTTGCTTTGACGGCCTCTGCTTGCGCGCGGGCCTGCACAGCAGCCAGGCTAATCGTGGAGGAGCCCGATCGTCGTGATCGCGAGGAAGCTCTTGAGTGAACCGATAGAGAGAACTGCGATGCTGTTTCATGTGCCTTGTCGCGTTTTTGTGGCCTAGCCTCTCGTAACTTTTCGCTCACGATCGCCTCACGGTCTTCATCGATTGCCTGTTGAAGCTGTAATTCGTGCCTGGCCTCAGGCGTCTTCGCCTTCTCGAGAAAGGCTGAGTATCTTGCGGTAGCATGTTGGTAGCACTCGTAACTTGCACGAAGCTGCGTTTTGGCGCCGGTAAACTGTTCTCCCTTAGCGCGTGACAGTGCCTGAAGAGCGCTCTCCACGTTTTTCCAAACAGAATCTAGTTTGCGGCAGTGCTCTTCGCGGCTCGTTTGGTACATTTCTTTAGCCCTCGTCGATAGGGTTGTTTTTTCTTTGCGGCCGAACGTTTGATGCGGAAGCTTCATCTTGTGGTGTGACATTTGGACACTCATGCGTCAGCTCGTCCTGGTCCATTCTTGCTTGCACGTTTTGTCTCGGAGCGGACGTATGTGAAACAATGGTGCTAAGCTGCGCGTTGAGCGTTGAAAGATGAAATGAGCCCACCTTGTTGCTGCCCTTCTGCTGTCAGCTGCTCAACTCCTTGGCGATGAAATCCTTGCAATGGGCGTGTGTCTGGGTTCAACCGCGGGTCTTGCCGTGGCGACGTATCCCATTGCCGGCGGACGTTGAGTTGGCGGCCGATGGCAGTTGAAGCGCTTTTTTACTATGCTGGTCTCGCAGCTCGCATTTGACGGGTCAAAGCGTCCGCTATCCAGCCAGTTAACGGTCGAACACTCGTGAACATTTAAACAAAAGTAACTTTAATTAACAGGAATTGGGGTCACATTTCAACAAACATTCACAAGCACTCAGTAAGTCCCCCTGGTGCTGTTGCTCGGGCTGGCAGGGTGAGTCTGCCCGCCGCTTGGCATTTCTTCTTCCGTCGACGACCGGGGTTTTCACTCTCTCCGTGAGCTGACAGAGAAGATGACAAATGACGCTCTGAAGGTCGTTTGCGGCGCCCGTTTAAAGTGGCCATAACAAAGGAAAAAGGGGTTTCACGACGTGGAAGTAGCCCCTATTAAGGGATTAAGCGTCTCCCCCTACTGCCTTTGGCGGCACTTGAAAGGCAAACACGGCTCCTGGCCGCTCTCTTCGAGAGGGGACAGCACACATATATTCATAGCGTACACGTTACGAGTGGACCACTTATGACGGTTTTACATCCCCCTCCAATAACGATGGTCCAACCGAAACACAGTGCCACATAACCAGTGCCCCACTAGCTGCGCGTGAAGTCACAGAGACAATCGTCATCTTATCGTATAACCACCAATTGCCACCCTCAGGCTGGTCATGTTTAAATGACTCTGTTTCGTGCCTTGACCTTCTACGGGACGGCTTTATGCTCTCCCATAGGACAGTACCAATTACTGTAAATCATTCACCACTTTTTCTAAACCCACCTGGTCAATGAGTCTCTTATCATCTCTGTCTATAGCTTCAGATCACTTCATAATTTTTCTAATCGGGTCACACAATCTATCTTGCGGTCATTAAAAGCACTTTCTCTTGGCGCGTGCCATATACTCTGTAATATAGGACAGGTTATCTGCGCTGTATACTCATTACAGGGCTTTTCCTGCTCTCAATTTCGATCACATATTATAGAACATTGGTTAGCCCCGTGTGATCTTTCGTTTCATACACATAGCTGTACTGCTCTCTTTTAAAGGTGTGTGTATTATTATTTTTCTTTCTATCGTTAACAACGCTGTCAAGATCTTCGCCCTTTGCTGACAACGAACCACGCAGTTCGGCTACACCGGTGGCGAAATGTACCAAATTAAGTTCGCAGCGGCGTACTTAACGCACACAGTGTAAGCCAGTTCAAGCTTGGCAGTCGAAGCGAGAAAAGAACAGATGATGAAGCTCTCCGTAGGCCACGGATTCTCGCTCCGTGCCGGAGGCAATGAAGCATGCTCGTACAGTCGCATAACCGAAAAAAAAAATGCACCCCAAGTTTGCGGAATCCTGGGGTGGATGACGTAACGCATACACGCCGTTTAGAAACGTGGTCATCCTCGTGCGTGTTTGTGTATACGCGTCTCCCCAGCGGTGGCGCTGCGCTGCTGCATGCTGCTTCGCCGGCTCACAACAGCCCGGGGCGGCGGGCTTCCCTCGAAGTCGTGACTTTCACATTGCCGCCGTCGCCTCCGATCGTGATCCGTTGCGATAAGACCAACACAAACGTATACATACATGCACCGCAGCGGAGAAGTCTCGATCGGTGCTCCGATGCCGCGAACGGCGGAAACAAGCGAGGAAAATGGGGCGGAAAAGCCCTCGCTGGGCAACGTTCTGCCTCACTATGTTGCGTGCAGTGATGCGCAATCCTTTCCGAAGACAAGTTCGATCAACCACTGCGACAGCGGCAAAGTCATACTTTGAGCGTTTCACGTGACTAAACAACGTTTGTAATGACTATTTACCTTAACGGATTCATCTCGGTTTATGCGCTTTTTCGATTGGCATCATTTGCATTTAAAAATACCGAATGATTACGGCTGCCCGATATAATGCTTTGTTGGAATAAAGGGGTATGAGGATTCCGCGCGATGTACAATTTATCAGGGCGCCGAATTAAGCGGCGAAAGTGTCAAAGCATTCTATTTAATAACTGATTTCTCCGCTTATAGACTAGATCGGGTATTGCGGCCGGCCGTCGCTCTATTCACTGGGTAAATAAGAGCAACTCCAACTTGAAGCCATTAGCAGATCAATATAGGAATAGTGACGCTCTCCGTGAACACAAAATGGAAAGGAAGGCGGCAAACGGGATATACTCGTTGTCCTTGCTTTTCAACTGTTCCCGAAAGTTCTCCCCAAGCAGCCCGTAAGTCCTCATAAACCTGGTGTTCTGGAAGATCACCGCTGCACGTATTACCTACCGTGCAGCGCATCGCCAACCCCAGTAGCCTTTGACTTATGCAAGGCTCTTCTACGCTCTTACCTGCGGGAGGAACGGAAGTGAGCGAGCGAGGGAGACGCATGCACGCACCTGGATGACGCGCATGTTGAGTCCTGTCTCTTGCGCCAGCTGCTCCCTGATGTGGCGCGTCGGTTTGGGCGTGGCTGCGAAGGCCGCCTTGAGCGTCTCCAGCTGCTTGGCCTTGATGGTGGTGCGCGGTCCTCGCCTCTTGGTGCCCCCCTGGGCCTCGTCTCCCGTCGCCGGCCCGCCCTCGGGACCCGAACCCCCACCGCCTCCAGGCTCCGTCTTGGGACCGTTGGCTACCGACGAGGCGTTGCCCTTGGCCCCACCGCCGCAGGCCGAGGGCGACGCCGCCCCGCCGCCGGGCGTCAGCTCACGCTCCACGCTCGAGTCCCTGTCCTGGTCGCGTAGCAAGAGGTCGGCGTCACCGCCGCCACCGTCTGACGGGTCGTCCAGGTCGAGTGTCGCGTCGCCCGGGGAGCCCGAGGGACCCAGCACTGCGAGATGAAGCATTTGGAATTCAGCCTAATGGATTTCCGTCAATAAGTGCTCAGTGCAGCGGTATACAGTCATAAGCGGACAGAGATGAATGCCTCCTGCCCCCTTTTCTGGTGCCCGTGTAATACAACAGGACTGCATTGAATGTTTCGTAAAAGGAAGTTGTGTACGTGTCAATCTCAAAGGAAAATACGTTTTGATAGACAATGCGACGTGCGTGTTAACACTGGCCTACGCAGCGCCATTTTGGTGATGATATTGATGTAAATTGATCGCAGTAACCAGCAAGGAGCGTTGGTTTGTACTTCCCCAATAAAGGCCCGAATCGTGTGAAGGCGACAGTTGTGCTGGCACAATGCAAAGCAGAAGTCTGAAGAGACAATGAAGTTCTGCCCGTATCTGACCGTTCAGGAACGGCAGACGAGACTTAACGAATACGCCGTAGGATACGCCGAACAAATATGTACACCTAAGGCGTTAGCTTTAGGTGTACTAATGCCAAGGACACAGACTAACTGAGGACACAGGCACTAACTAACTAATGCCAAGGACACAGGCTAGCAGCCAGCAGGCTGCCCTAGGAACCCAGTCACCCTTTCCCCTCTTTTAGATACTGGAAAATGGGGTGATTCGTCGAAAATAAGCAATAAAAGTGCGTATTTTTCTAAAATGGTCAAGATCTTCGGCAAAAAGGCCCTTCCCTGAAAAGAACTCCTGGTACGGGTATGCAAGTTCGTTAACTGTATATTGATTTCTGATCTTCAGGTTTCTTCCGACAAATTTATTTATGAATGAGGGGCTATTACAAACGTTGCGCCCTATATAATACAGTCATGCATTACAAACGTTGCGCCCTACATAATTATAGAGTAATACAAATCTGTTCACAAAAGAAGCCAGTATACACGTAACCACTGTTCATTCCTGCCGCTCTGCAGCCTCAAAGACGCGTCTCAGTGTGGCTCATGATTAACGGTGCTGTAGTTAATTGCCAGAATACGTGTGCGTACTTGCGTAAGGGGGAGGTATGTGACAAGGCCTGAGTGGAGGACCCCAGGCAGGAAACTGCGGCTTCAGCCCCTTTTCGGGACTCGAGGCGACGCCGCCGCAGTAGCCAACGTAACCTGCGATTGCAATGGGGGAGGGGGCAGAGAGGAAGAGAGGGCCACGAATATTAGACGCCAGCCTCCACATTCTACATGAGGGTGTAAGGGCACGTTGAAACACGGCACGGATGAACACAAGAGAGACAGACAGCGCTCGTGGTTATTCATATCAACACTCCGTGTTGTTGGCAGTCACGATGCCAAGCGTGCACCGCACAAGAACCATAGTTGCAAAGTAGGCCTTTGATCCTTATATACTTTATCGCACGGAGACGTCGCAAAATGACGCGCGATGAATTTTGCAATCTCTTCAAACAACGATTTGAGTGTTTCTGTTCTTTTGTACACTGTAAGCAAAAACTATCCGAGTTTGGGGTTTTTGCGGCTCATGACCTCTGAAAACTCTCTTGCGTTTAAAATTACTACCTCGTGTAGGAGTAAAAGATGGTATACATGACATAGTTTTACCACCACCTCTCAGGCAAGTAGTAAAAGGATGTCAAAATCCAGTTTTACCACGTAGGGAGTTTTCTATCACGTGATTTTTATCCTGCGTTTCAGACTTTATTAACACGTGACTGCAAGGTGCAGCTGCTTCAGTGGCTTTTGCCCCATACCCCCTCGTGACGCTCTCAGTGAATCATAAAGGTACGCGAGGACCACAGATCTTTTTTTTTTTTTTTGGCATCGCCGTGCCTCGGGACTGACATCGAGTCAACGCACTTTCACTGGAACTGGGGGCAGCATAGGCACAACAAGCGTGAACAGCATTCTGTGAACGAAAAAGAAAAAAAGACGGGGTGGGGGGGGGGGGAGTCTCAAAAGAAGAAAAAAAAAAGAAAGAAAACCTGCTCAGGAAACTTGTCCTGCATATTTTCGCAAATTGTTGGCTTTTGCTCGGCGTTGGCCTTGGAGATAGACGGTGCAAGAAGCTGGGTATCTGTGTGTCTGGTTGGGCTGATGGATCTCACGTGTTTCCTACATCGTCAAACGACCGTGCGCTTCCGAACGCCTCCGAACCTGCACGTCGCGGATATCTCGCTTCCGAGCCGAATCGCGAATATCTGCCAGTGGTAACAAAATCAATCTGGTGTCATCGTCCGTGCTTGCCTACTGGAGAAGCAATAAGCAAAATGCTTCACTCTGTCGTCGGCACCGAGCCGCGGCCGCCAGTGACCAGTGGGAGTGTGTCGCCGGGGCAGGTGAAAGAAGCATCGCATATGTTTTGTTCCACAGTAGGCGATGTCTGCATGAGTAAAGTGCTGCCCGAATTGCCCACCTCATGCACCAACTGTTCTCAAACATGTAGCGCAAAGCCTATACGAGGCAGACGGGACCAACAAACGGCTGCCGGTGAGCACGAAGAAAACCCGGACGGTGGTATTTACACCGCCCCGTCCCCGTAAGATAGTGGCCACGTGTTCATTTGTGTCTGGAACGACGACAAAATTCGCACAGGATATGTGTTCTGTGATCGCCAGCTGTGTTTCATCGGATAGCCATGCTCCTCAAAAAGGCCTAGTGCGCCGTCGGTAAGAAGCTTGTGTGCAGGCGTGCACCGCTCCTCTACGCCCGTTGTGATGAATACGTGCTGCTACTGTGTTTGTGCACCGTCGCTCAATGAAAATCATTGAGCTACCATAGTTTGTGCGTACTTAGGTATATTTTATGGACTTGTGCATCAGCAGTGCTAACACGCGTGGGGCCATGAGCCCGGTGTGCCAAGTAATCATTGGATACTCAAAAAGGTGAGATTGGGTAGATTTACAATAAAAGGTCGGTGTGACATTTAGTGTCCTGCAGCCCACCTTAAGTTTACGCTTGCACCTTCAACTGTTCTTGTTTATCGATGCAGAAAAAGAGCTCTCTTACTGGTCCTACAGGGCCGGTCAAAAAGTCGTGCCTATATATATACCGGACTGTCAAAGTGTAGTTGAGCAACGCGTGCAGTCTGTTCCATTCTGCTTCTGGTCACCGACGCGTGCGGACGCAGGATGGCAGGCTCCTCAAGAGCTGTTACAGCGGCCGACGCTAGCCGCGGTTTCTCGTGCACATCGCTTCCCAAGGACTACCGTTTAATTCTGCCACCACTGCCCACAGGAGAAGGACTCAGACGCACGTTGGTTCTGCACTGCGACATCGCAGCGCGTCCGTACGGGATTAACGACTTCCGAAAGCCGCTCAAGGAACTAGGCATCATTCAAGAGGTAAGCGGCATAGGAGCGTATCAGATGTCGCACGTCTGGCTTCTTAACATGAAGACAGATGAAGCCAAGAAGATAGTTCTGGACGCTGGCCTACTCTCCGTGAAAGACCGGCCCTGCGTCGTCGTCGACCCAGAAAGGCAAGAGGTGCGTCTCAAGTTGCATTGGGTAGCCTTTGACGTCAACGCAGAGACTGTACGGCGTGCTTTCCGGGAGTACGGTGAAGTGAAAGAAGTTATCAGCGACAAGTGGAGAGACGAAGACTTCGAAGGAGTTGAGTCAACCACAAGATTCGTTCGGCTACTACTCAAAGAAGGCGTTACTACGGATCGCATACCCCACCAGATGCGTCTCGGAAGCGGCATGGCACTGGTGGTCGTGCCAGGAAGAGCACCGCTGTGCCTGCGTTGCCGGAACACGGGACACATTCGTCGCGACTGCAGGGTGCCCAGGTGCGCTGGTTGTCGCGCTTTTGGGCATGAGCAGGCGGACTGTACTCGTTCCTATGCCAGTGCAGCAAGTCGAGCAACAAATGCCGACCACAGTGAATTGCTCATGGATGAAGAGGAAGCAGAGAGGGCCGCGGCGTCGAAGGCAGGAGAGGAGGCGTCTCATGCAGTGGCGACCAGCGAGGAAAAGACGGAGACACCTAAGCAAGACGCAGGCACAGATGAAAATACGGTTGTGGGCACTCCAACGCCACGGCGTTCGACTCAAATGGAAACCCAGCACAAGGCTGAACCAGTCATCGGGTCCGACGCTACTTCGGACATGGATACAGTTGAAGCTACGCCAGTAAAGCGCCGCCTGAATGAGGGAGACGCGGCGTCCCAGCAGCGTCTGACCCAGGAAGATCAAGGGCAGTGGCGAGTGGCTGGCTCCAAAAAGTCTCGGGGTGCTGGCCGCCTGCGTTCGTCGTCGCTTTCACGCGGCGGCGACGGGACGACGCCGTGAGCGTCGGCCGGACAGTTGTTTAGGTGTTAGTAAGGTAAGCGTCTTTCGCTCGGCTTTCTCTCATCACGATGGCGACGATTAGATTAGCGACGCTAAATGTACGTGGGCTTTCTGCCAAACGGCGGCAAAACCAGCTTTACCGCCTGATTATAGAACAAGATCTGGACATCGTCGCTGTACAGGAAACTAAAGTAGAGAGTGAAGAGCATGCTGAGCGAATGGTGCAGCCTTTCACGAGAGTGTTTGATGTGTGCGTTTGTCACGCGGTAGGTGCGTCTGCAGGTTGCCTCTTGTTAATTCGGCAAAGCCTAAATGCGAAAGTGGAGTCTGTAACTACCTGCGAGGCGGGTCGTTTTATTATATGTGATTTATTCCTACCAAGAGAAAAATGGAGAGTAATCTGTGTGTACGCACCCACTGTGATTCAAGATCGAAAGGAGTTTTTTGAAAAACTTGATGTGTATTTAAAATGTGAACGTAAACTAATTTTGGCTGGGGATTTCAACTGCGTTTGTTCGAGTATAGATAAATCAAGTTCCAGGTCATACAGAGATTCAAGCACTGCCGTTCTAATTGATATGGTGGCGAAAGCTCAGCTAGAGGACGTGGGTGAATGTCTTTGCAGTGGAAAAGGGGTTATGTTTACCCACTTTCAGCGTTCAAGCCATGCTAGACTTGACAGAGTATATGTGTCTTCCGAAATCATTCCTTCGTGCCATGATTACAGAGTTACACCTGTTACGTTTAGTGATCATTGTTTGGTTTCATTCTCAATGGGTAAACATAAAAGGAATAACAAAAATTTCTCTTGGGACCTCTGGAAATTTAATGTAAAGCTACTAAAGGATGAAGAGTTTAATCGGATTTTTCTAGAGGGCATAGAAGACTTAGCAAATAGAACACTTGAATCCTGGGGACATAAGTGGGAAATATTTAAACAGACCATTAAACTGAAAGCACTTGAGAGAGCCAGTATCCTGAGACATGCTGAAAAAGAACTTGAAGTGCGTTTGCGTGAAAACTTGCAACAGTTAGTAGCGGATGAATGTACTCAGGCCGGAACATTTTCAGAGGAGATAAACATAACTAAACAGAAGCTAGAGTTGATAGACCAAGAACGTTATCGTGGAGCATTGATTCGAGCTCGAGCAGAAAACTTGGTAGCGGGAGAAATGCCAACAAAACGATCCCTTGGAGCCGAGAAGAGACATGCCTGTAAGAATGAAATAAGAGAAATAGAATATAAAGGAACAAGGTGCCATACGAAAGAAGCAATAGCCGGTGCTTTTTTCGAATATTACAAAGAGTTATTCACACCAACCAGTGTACACGCAGAACGTTTTAATAGCGATTTCATTTCATTAATGCCAAGACTTGATGACGAAAGAAAGAAAATTTTAGAATTGCCTATAACAGAGCGAGAAGTTGAAAAAGCAATTGATAAGTTAAACAATGGTAAGTCTCCAGGACCAGATGGCCTTAGTGCTGCAGTGTACAAGGAATTCAAACACGTAGTTTCACCTATTTTGAGGGAGGTATTTAACGAGGCTTTTAAGTGTAAACAACTTCCACCATCGTTTTTGTCAGCCCACACGGTCTTAATACCTAAAACAGAAGATCCCGCGAAGTTAAGAAGTGTTACTGCTTATAGACCAATTAGCCTAACTAATGTTGACTATAAAATATTGATGAAATATTGGCCAGAAGACTCCAGACAGTTATGACAAAACTGATTGGGCCCCACCAAACTTGTGGCATAAAGGGAAGGAAAATAATGACCAACATAAACATAGCACGATCAATCCTAGAAAGTTGTGACGTTATGCATCTCAATGTTGCCATGCTTCAAATTGACCTCGA